AAACCATTCTGTGATTCTGTGATTCTATGTGTTATGTTCATGCTCTTTAATAGGAGTTGCTGTGCTGGAAGTGCATTGTCACAGTTCAAATCATGATCTGTGGAGCACGTAGCTTATTTTGACACAGCAACTCACTTCTTTCAAACTACTGCTATGACTTGAGAAATGGGAGAGGAAGAGGGTTGCTAGTGCCTTGGGCTTATCTCTGAGGGCATACAAGTGAGGAGGGAGTGTACAGAACCACCTTTGTGGCATTTAGGGGAACCCTGAATCAGTTAGCCCTCCCTCTGTCCTGGGTCATAGTGCTGGTTGGAGTTCAGCCGAACGGCAGCTTTGACTTGTTCTTCTTAGCTGTGGGGAAGCTGCTGCTTGTTCTACCTGGTTGTCCTGGTTTCGGCTGAGATGGAGTTAAGTTTCCTTCCTAGTAGCTGGTACAGTGCTGTGTTTGGGAATTAGGATGACAATAATGTTGATAACACACTGATGTTTTAGTTGCTGCTAAGCAGGGCTTGCACTAAGTCAAGGACTTTTCACCTTCTCATACTGCCCTGCCAGTGAGGAGGTCTGGGGTACACAAGGATCTGGGAGGGGACACAGCCAGGACAGCTGACCCAAACTGGCCAAAGGGGTGTTCCATGCCATATGATGTCATGCTCAGTGTATAAACTAGGGAGGAAGTTAGCTGGGGGGGCCACTGCTCAGGAAGTGGCTGGGCATTGGTCGGTGGTTGGTGAGCAACTGCATTGTGCATCACTTGTTTTGTATATTCTTTTATCATTATTATTATTTTCCCTTCCTTTTCTGACCTATTAAACTGTCTTTATCTCAACCCATTAATTTTATTTTTTTTTTTACTACCAATTCTCTCCCCAGTCCCACTGCGGGGAGGAGGGTGAGCAAACGGCTGCATGGTGTTTAGCTGCCTGCCAGCTTAAACCACAACACTGGTGTGTGTCTCTCTCTCCCAGTATGTGTCCTGTCCTGAACTGCTAGACCAGCACTACAGCGTGGACGTGACTGCGGCCGAGCACTCTGTTCAGCACCCGATCACCAAGTCGTCGGTGCGCCGGATCGTTCACACGGGTTCGGAGCAGAACAGCCACCGAGATCCCACAGCTCGGCATCACTGCATCTCCTTGTGCCGCGAGCTGGAGCCTTATGGAGCCATCATCGCCGCTATCAACGACAGCAAAACCAGCAACATCCGCCAGAGGCCCATCACCTTTGAGAACGCCACGCACTATTACCTCTACAACCGCCTCATGGACTTCCTCACCAGCAGGGAAATTGTGAACCGGCAGATCCAGGAGATTGTACAGAGCTGCCAGCCGGGGGAGGTGGTCATCCGCGATGCTCTCTACCGGCTTGGAGTGGCCCAGATCAAAACAGAAACAGAAGAGGAGGAAGAGGGGAAGCAGGAGGATGATAGAGGTTGCTGAGTAACAAAACAGCTGGTTGGCTTCTCTCTCTCTTCATGTGGATGGGTGGGCTGGGCCAGCTTCTGCAAGGTTTGGGCAGCTGTCTGGCTTGAGAGTTTGTTTTCACAGGTTGGAGATGTGATGCTGGTGGCTTTGACTTCTGTTAACGACCAAAGAGCTGTGTGCTTCCAGAGTGTCATGGTAGCTGCTGTTGAGCAGGGGTCTGTCACCTGCCTTGCTGCAGGCTGCAGTTGCCTTTCGAGGTGTGTGATGGACCCACTGTTAGGTGGTGTGGAACATTGCCCTCCCTGCAGCTGGCGAGTGGAGAAGGGAGAGGCATTTCTGGTGGCAGGGAGTGTGCCTGGTCGAGCGCACAGGTTTTGAATTCTGAATCTTGCTTGCTGACTTCTTTGTGCATATTGGTGGCAGGGCTGGAGGCGTGGGAGCAGGTGTGAAAGGCAGACAGCTAAGAAGATTTCCCCCAAAATGTTCTGAATACACCAGTTTAGGACACTGACTCCTGCTTGGAAGTCTTGCAGAGCTCTCTCATGCATTGGCTGTGAGGAGTCTTTAGTCGAGGACGAGCCATGCAGCTTTAACATGCCGTATCTGGGGAGCCTCCCTGGACCAGGATTGTGTCTGCTTTGGCTGCAGAAAGTTTTTAGAATTCGTCCCTTTACATGAGCACTAATAATTTAGAAGCTGAAACACGCAGTGGGTGGAAGATGTTAAGGTAAGAATTGGCCGGGCGAGCCCCAGGGGAGCTGAGCTCGTTGGAGGGCCGTGTGAGCGCTGTGCAAGGTGGTGGCTGTGGGAAGGGGAAGGACACTTCTGTGCTCTCCTCCTGGACACTGGGTTGTTTTTTAGCAGTTTCATCCTGTTCAAGGACTTGAGTTTCTGTTGTCCAGCCCTTAGAACAGGATCGCAAAGACTGTGGAATCAAGGAGGAACGATGAATGCAGTGTCACCAGGAGAGCAGGGTTCAGTGTTCTTCCCTCAGAGGAGATGCTGGGAGAACTGCATCCATGTGTGCAACCTCCACGCTCTGTCAGGTGTCCTGTTTGCCCTGCCCATGTCCACACAGCGCTGTGTGGGTTAGAGAAGTCTCATACCACCCAGGCTGCTTCATCAGCTCCTTGAGAAGAGCCGGGCTGAGACCTCTGCCCCTACAGCGTGTGTGAAGAACACCTTGGGCTGCGGTTGTAAAGCTGTGCGTGATGTCTGCTGCCAGCTCCCTTCTGCTGTTGCTGGCAACGAAGCTGAGGGTGGATGGATGTTTGCAGTGACCCGCAGAGGAGAGGAGGGGGGTGCTAGACTGCTAATTTGCCATCCAGGGAGCTTGTTTTGTCTGGGTGAGCAGGGGGGGAGATTCGGAGGCTTGCGGTGTGGCTGAAAATTCCCTTCTGCGAAGGGGAACCCATCAAGTACCGTACTGTTAAAGTAAATGTATTAAGTCTGAGCACATGCAGTTAAGTATAGCTTGGGGTTTTCTTCTTCTTTTCTTAACTTATTATAAGAGACATTAGTGACTTTTTCAGTCAGTGATAAACTTTAATAAATTATCTCCAATTTTTGGGGTGAAACTGTGGCCAAGTGACTTGTTTTTTGTGTACAAGACCTAGAGGACTGCAGTGGGAATGGGCACAAACACCATGTGGATATACACCGTGATTCCAGTCTGCATTGGAATTGGGAAAAGCTTGGTATTCTCAGAAGCAAGGTGTTCTGAGAGGAGCAGCTCAAGAAATCGCTTGGGTCACCTCACCAGAGCATCAAATAAAATTATCACTAAACATAGCTGAGGTGTAGTTCTTAGAAGTGGCAAGAAAGTAGCTTTGGCAGATGGTCGGCTCCCCTGATCTGCCTGCTCTTGTTCTGCAGTTCCCTGCACAGGGCAGCTCCTGAGGTGACTTTCATAGGCAAGAGTCTGCAGTAGGTGCCAGCAGCTTCTCTTCAGGATGTGTTTGATAGCCTGGGCTGGAGCCCCTGCTACAGGAGGTTCTGCTGCAGTAAGCACGAGTCTGGTCACCTGGAGTAGGGCCCTTCTGCCTGTCCCCTGCCCTCAGCGTTACACAGACTGGTGCCACGCACCCATCTCAAACAGTGACCGTTGACAGACATCCCATCATCACAATCAAAATTACTCCACCCTTATATCTGTGCATGCTTCATTTTTCCCGATTACAGACAGGGTCACTTAGAGCAAAGTGCTTTAAAACCTGGCTTTTAATAAGTTTTTTTGCATTATACAAGATTGAATAGTTTTGAGAACTGGTAACGAGGAACTGGAGCAAGAGTCGCAGGGTGCAAGAGGATGGGCCAGTGCATGACCCCTGCTCCAATCCGTTCCCCTCTGAGAACAGTCCTTAAAGCCCTGGAAGAGACTTGGCTTTGTTAAACTTCTGACTTTATTCTTTACAATGCAGACAGAAACGTGTTAGCTTTTTATTTAGTAAGGAGGAATGAATCACTTGGTGTTAGCACAAAACCCAGGTTTAATACAATCAGAAGTGGCCCACGACATAATTGCTCACAGTATGACAAAGGGCACCTGCCGTACACCGTAGTTCCGTGGCGCTGGAGTTTGCCTGAGCCCTGTCAGTGCTTGTACCTGGAATACTGATCCTCTACCCCCCAAGTCGGGTGAAGCGAAGAAGGTTCATGAGCTATTCCTGATAGCTGCACAGGACCCGGTGGCTGTGGCATTAGTAACCCTCAACAAGAGCTAGATGAGAAATAAGTTTAAGGGCATTAGGCCCTAGCTTATGGAAAAAACTTACCTCAGCTCTACTATTCAAATACATTCAGGAAAATATGTACAAGAGCATATCTGTAATCACAACAGGGATTGCTACATCTTTAATAATTGAGAAGTTTTGCAGGATATGTGTGATGTTGATCATTTCCAGATCTGTTTCAGCTGCCGTTCTTTCCTGGATTGGGATTGTGTGCGGTGCTCACATGGAAGAACACTGGTTACTTCTGTATTTTACCTGAGAAATAACTGCCCCTCTGTCCTCTTACTGGGGCACAAGTTCACATAACGCTGAGGTTGTCTCCTTGGCTTGCTTCACCCAGACAATCTCTGCAAAAGCATCAGCTGCAGAGAGGTAGATTGCATGAGGAAATGGAGAGGTTAATGCATATTTAATGCTAAGTAGGGGCTTCACCTGTGTCTAAACACTCACTGTGCATCGTCCAGGGTCAGACTGATAAAGGGAAGAGAGCAGGATCACCAAGGTGTGTGCTTCAGGACTTGACATTCAAGATGTGCTCATAAAACACCAGGCTTCAGTCATGTGAGTGACTTCTGGAAATGCCTTACTTGGCTGCAACTTGTCTTTTTTAAAAAAACAACAAAACCCAAACACCCCACAGACCCCTCCGAGGGGTGGAGAGGCAGGTGATGGGACCTCTCTGTATCTTGCAGAGATGGAGCATATTATCATCCTAACAACTCTCTATTACACCTGAGATAAGACTTTAGGGACCCCTTGGTGAGTCTTGGTTTTGAGTCACTCCAGTGCTGCCCTTTCAGGGAGGGAGTTGGTAACACTGGTACTTCAGTAAGCACAGAGAGGAGAGCCAAAGCAGAAGGCGTCTGCGTCCTAGGGCAGAGTGGAACCGTGCGCTCTGCAGGGCCAGGACAGGGATCTACCCCAGGGCCATGGTGCCAGCTAACAGAACTGGTAGTTGTTGCTCTTGAGAAGGGGCTGGCCGCTGTCCTCTTGCTCACAGGACTCCTCACAGCAGCCAGAGGTATCGCAGCCACTGTCCTTCTCAGCAGTGGAGGGGAGGTTGGTGTAGTCCTTCAAAGCAAAAACATCCCCAAGTGGGTTTCGGTCCCTTCAGTGGTGGACAACACCCATTTCTGCATAGATGACCAGCCAGGGATGCTAACTCTACCCTAGCCTTTGCTGTGCCCACAGGGCATGGCTGCTGGTGGGACAGGCGTGCCCATGGTTTTGTGGAGCTGCAGGACAGGTAGTCAGGAGGCAGCACTCCTTTTGTCCAGCTGCATACCCAATCCAGGGGCATGGGGCAGGGCTGCTGCACTGATAGTCATATGTCTACCTATAGAGGTTGCTGCTAAGCAGCTGTGTTTCTTTGTCCATCCTCCTTTGGTCATGGTGGGGCGTGACTTAACCCTTCAGCATGGGGAAATCTGAATGCCTCTCTGCACTTTCCACCAACATTAAAGTGCTCTTATCAGTTAAAGGTAAGGGACATCACCAGGAAAGTTGTCCAGGAGCTATATTCATGTAAGGGGAAAGCACATCTCCCTTCCCCCTTCTCCCCAAAGGTCCTCACCTGTTCCTTATGCACCTCCAGCTCTTTCTGAATGAAGCAGCTGATCTGGTCAAAGGTAGGTCTCTGTGTGGGCTCCAGGCTCCAGCATGCCTGCATGATGCTGTACCTGCAGAGCCAAACAGGGACAGGATGGTTGCACTCGGATGCTGCAAAGCTGCTGGAGAGTCAGCACCCCCGGCTCTTCCCTGCAGCACCTTGTTTCATGTAGTCCCTTGTCTTCCTGCCTGTAAAACCCATGGCCAGTGCATGTGTAATGCTCCAGGGGAAGGTGAGCGCAGGAGTGGATAGAGCAAACTTCTCTAATCTATCAACAAGGGGCTTTATGCCTCCAGTACTTTTTTTCTTTAAGCTTAAACTCATTCCTTTCCTGTAACCTGCTCAGGCTTGTCTTCTCATACTCCTGGAGTCAAAAGTAGCTGACTGAAAAAACCACCACCAAGTTCAGGAATGTAGACATAGAACATGAGCTCTCCTGTCTTCCTGTCCATAAGCAGAGGAAATACTGAGCAGAGCACCATAACTGACTGCCCCAAGTCTTGCTTTCCTACAGGAGCAAGGAACAGCCTGGCAGGATCCAACCTCAGGGGCAGACACACCTGGGAGCAGGCAGCAGACCTGTGACCAAGGTCCCTGTGCCATCTCCCTGCCCACTCCCCACGAAGCAGCTCCAGCCACCCTGTCACCCGTTGGGTGCATCTCAGTGCATCCACTCACATTTGGAAGGGAGCGAAGTCAGGCCTGGCCATCTGGTATCCCTGCTTCACCATGCTGTAGAACTTGCTGTTGACCACCATGCCAGGATACGGGCTTTTACCTGTGACAGTAACAGAGCAGAGGTGGCTCTCACATCAAGGCTTTGACACTGCAGCCTTGTGGGGTGGGAAGAGGCAGCCTGGAGCATGGCCTGAGCCAGTACTACCCCTTCTCAGGGATTTCTGAGTTAGAGCAAATCATCCAGGTTCCATTGCTTCCAGAGGGACCATTAAAAGCATAAGACAGTATTTTATAGCTCTGATAAAACCTAGATTTTTGTCAACCTTCCTCCTTTCTTGGAAACTTTTCTGCAGAGACATTGGCGCAGTGGTAAGCCATGGAAAACAAGGTTTGCATGCTCGCTTCTTTCTTACCAAGGGAGAAGATCTCCCAGAGAAGGATGCCGTAAGACCAGACATCGCTCTGCACTGTGTAAATGCAGTCAAAGATGCTCTCTGGGGCCATCCATTTCACGGGCAGGCGGGCCTGGAAGAACAGAGTGTCCTGCAGACTGGGACAAGGTGACAGCTTACGCTACACCCTGTCCTTCGAGCTCCAGCCTCACCCCCACCCTCGTACCATCTCTTGTCCCCATTTTAATGACTTACGTTGCCTTTTACAACATAGTTCGAGTCATTCATGATATCACGGGCCAGGCCGAAGTCACAAATCTTGGCTACCCGTCCATCTGATACGAGCACATTCCTGGCTGCTAAGTCACGGTGGATGCACTGGGGAGAAGAGCGTGCTACTGAGATCCAGAAAATGTCCCCCAGCAGTCCCAACAAATTCCCTACGGCCCAGGCCTGTCACCAAAACACAGGAGCAAGGGGAACGTGTACTGCTTGACAAGCCCCTGTACGAGGCACTGTGTCACATACAAGGAGTAGGGGCTCTCCAACAACTTCATTTGCAGTGCTACAACACTGTGACATTTCATGCCATGTCCTTTAGTCACTCATGGGGCTGTCATCCTCCTCGTGGGAGGAGGCTCAGGACCAGGGGCTGTTCACACTGTGTCCTCCTCTCTGGAACAGTCACACGGTTACTCTGATACTCTAAACGAGCCAGCTCTGGCAGACAGAGCGACGGCCACTTTCAGTTCCTTGTCCCCTGGGCAGCGGGGAAGCTGCCAATGCGAGAAAGCTTCGCATCAAAGTTCCTGACCTCACGTGAAAGCTGGGGAGAAAAATGTTGAGACTAGCATGATACACAGCCCTGGGCTCCCCCCCATAGTGCTGCCCTGCCGCGATGGCCTGCCTGGAGCCCGTGGGAGACAAAGGCTCTGAAGGGAACCAGTCACTGTGGCCCAGCATGTCTGAACCCAGCAGATAGAGCAGAGAAGTTCATTTCCAGCTTGCCTGAGCTTGGCCAGCCCATCCAAAAACATCCCGAGCCTCATGTAGAGGGGATGGCTGGTGCCTGCTGGCTGGACTGGCATCTCCCTGTTGAGGTGTCAGGGGCAGTTGTCTGCTTGGCACTCACGTTCTTTGATGCAAGAAAGGCCATGCCCTGGGCCACCTGGCTGGAGAACTGCAGCAGGTCAGAGAGACTGAGGGGACGGAGGTCCTCCCTGGTTTCATCTTCTTCCTCTGAGCTTTTCCCTGAAATTTAAAGCAAAGTTTTAGAGTTGCTGCAAGCCTGGCGAGTAATGCAAGCTATGCTGTATCCTGGTTTCCCAGGGCTAAACCAGACAGGATGGCTGGAATAAAGAAATCATGAAAACACAAAAATGAGCCTTTAACTCACCCCTGGCTTGCCCGGAATCTGATGATGCTGAAGAGGATGATGATGACACAGGCCTCATTTCAACATACGTTTCCAAACCCTGGCTTGAGAAGCCACTGTCACTGAGTCAGAAGCAATAGAGATGGAGGCAGACGGTTAGCAACCCTCCAGCAGTACCTTCTGCCCTTCTCCACCTCCACTGAGAGGAGAAACCACATCGCTGCCTGCGGGAAGTGGCTTCGCTAAAGGCTTAAGGGAAAGTCAATGTTGAGATAGAATCATAGAATCGTTAGGGCTGGAAGGGACCTTCAAAGGTCATCTAGTCCAACCCCCCTGCAAGGAACAGATCGATTCGGAAAGGGGACGACCTAGGTGCCCTGTGGTACGTGGCTCCAAGTACTGCTCCCCTTTTGTCAAGGGACAGCCCTTGGCTGATGGGGAGCGCTAGGCCTCCTGTCCTACAAAACCCACATGCCCAACAGTGCAGGAAACCAAAACGTTCTGTTTCCAGATCGTGGGAGGACAGACTGGATTGAAACCTGGATTTGTTGTGCGATGTTCAACGACTGCTGTCAAAGACACTGAAAAACTTGGAGCTGTAACCAAGTCTAAAGACACACATTCCCAGTGGCTTCCACATCCTGGTATTCTGCACGTCTCCAAAGCTTTTGCCTTAATCTCTGCCCAGCACAGCTCTCCACACGTCTCCCAGCAAGTACCCAGGCCCTGCATTGCTCAGCCCTGTGGCTACCAGAGCTCTGCTTTCACCTGCAGATGTATTTCTTCTCTAGGTCAACGTTTTTGTAATCAGCAGTGCTGTCTAAAGAGGTATCCAGGGTAGAATCCTGGATAATTATGGATTCAGCCTTCTTCCGCAGGAAATTCAGCAAATCTCCGTGGCGACAGTACTCGGTGATGACGAGGATAGGACCTGGGAGAGGGGCAGAAAGGGTTCATTAAGAAGTGACACTACTGTGACCTGTCCTGAGGATTGCTTTCCCCAGGATGGGCTGCAGAACCCATGCTGCACATAAGCACATCTGGAAATGGCCAGGCCACAGGCCCTTGCAACGTTATAGGGTCAAAAAAGACCGAGTTCGTCAGCTATCTCTGTTGTGAGACTGAGGAGAGGTAACAGTCCCAGAAGAGCAGGCCACAGGAGGAAGGCAGGCTGTGAGATCCTACCTCCATAGGTACATGCTCCCAGCAGGTTAACAATATTCTCGTGGTGTCCCAAGTGACTCATAATCTTCAGCTCAGACATGAGAGCCTCCTGCTCATCTGTGTCTGCCGATGCTGCAAGACAAGAGGAGAAGGCCTGTGTGAAGGAGTGATGGAGGCACAAGGAAGAGATAATGGGAGAGAACAGCCAAAGGTGCAGACAAAGATAAGAAACAAAAGGAGAACACGAACTCAGAAAGGAAATTGTGTCCTTTGTCTGTGCCTGTGGCCACCTGCATCAACAAAAACGACAGCAGCGCAATTACAACACCCAGTACTTGTCACAGAAACATCTAAGAAAGTAGATGTTGCAGCCTGGGAGCACCAACAGATGCGGTGAACACACGGTATGTCCTGCTTAAAGGAGCTAAGGGGATTTCAGCCTTTGCAAGTTGCTCTGGGCTTACATTTTAGCATCTTCACAGCCACTTTGAGGACCGAATCTTCTTTGCCCAGTCCAAAAGCAGTGGCTTCTACCACTTTTCCAAAGGCTCCTGCTCCAAGAGTTTTTCCTGTAAAGGGAAAAACAAAAAAGTGCTTATAAGAGGCTTTAGAGACAGATTGAGCAGTTGCCCTGCACACAGCCTTGAGGAGAATGTCTGGTGGGTGGGGATTCCTGCTACGCCCAGATAAGATGACACATCCCTTAGTCAGGAGCTGGTTAACATCTGAGGGGAACTCTACTATGGGCAAAGATGGTATGAAAGAGCCCATGTCCAAACATGGGCTCACCGGCTCTACGTGCTAGGAAGAGGAGCAAGAGGAGGGACATGGTCCTCTCAACCTTCCTTGGAGCAATGTAGGGCTGGAGGGTTGTTGTACCCTAGCATTTGCTACGCTGTGTGGAAGAGGGCAGAAAGGCCTGGTCAAGGATGTTGTACTGTCTGGATGCAGCTTTGGATGTTGCCCAGTTACTTTGGCTCTGTCCCTTGGAGGATTTCAGCTCTATGGTGAGCTGCATGCCACCAGGGAGGCAGCAAGGAAGGTTTCTTACCAAACTGGAGATTATTCCTGGGAAACTCCCATTTTTCATTGTATGGCAGCTGAGTAGGATCAATAAAGATGTAGTTATTCCCTTCACAGGCCTCAATGATCTTCCACCGCACCTGGTATTTTGGTTTCTGTAAGGAAGAGACTCCAGTTACTCAATGTTCCTCAAGTCCTGAGGGTTCCCCAGTCCCAGCATGCTCTCTAGCTCTCACCCTGCAGGCACAGAGGGAAGACTCAGGTTTCAGACCTCCCTCACTTGGGATGGCAGAGCCAGGAGAGCCAGCATGTCCCACTAGATCGGTGGCTGACAGCACCCAGCTGGTGCCAGAGGAAGGTGTCCCTGCTGTGTCTCCTTCCTCAATACCCTGGGTTGCTGAGCACAGCAAAATGGTGGAGCTGGCCAAGCCCCACTTCCCTTAAGGGGAAAAAAGAAATGGAGAAAGAGAAGTAAGAATTTCTTCTCTTTTCCACGAATCTCATGGCAGAAGTAACCAGGCAAGGACAGAGAGAAGTAGTGCTGGAGCTCATGGGCAGAGGTGGTCACCAGTTTGTGCTGGGTGTTGTCAATCATGCTGAGAGGTCTAGGGAGCCAGGGTGGAGGCCCAAATACAGAGAAAGGTGGTGACATTGCCTGGCACGAGAATACCGTGTGCGGCCTGTGGTCCTGTGCAAGGGGACAAGCAAGGACCTGCACCCCAGAGTGATAAAGGGGGTCTCAGGTCCATCAAGGCAGGCACAGGGGAGCACGGGTAGAGTGACCATGGTTGTGATGAATCACAGCATGTCCCAGCTACTGCAAGATGTGTGCTGAAATGCTTCTCCTCACCACTTCTGCTGGATAGTTGCAGAGAAGAATGCAGTGTAGGGGTACATGCTCAAAACTGGGTTAGCACGGGCAGGAAGGACAAAACCTGAGGCAAACAGATCCACAGTTTTGATGTGGAGTCTGTTTGTTTTCCCCCCCAAAACTGCTTCTTTTTCCTTTTCCTGAGAGTTGAACACTCATGCCCATGCAGGCTGTTGAAAAAGGCCCAGACAGGATGCTCCAAGCAGCACAGTTTCTGGTGGAGGTCCCTCAAAGAACACCACAGGCACTCAGTTTATTTGCTGTTGCCTGCTCCCACCTCGCACTGCAGCGCTCAGCCATAGCTCAAGAAGTCCATGGCTGAGATAGAGATTATTTATAAATAAGTCCTGCTTCTCTTGGGCTTGAAACTCCTTCCTAAAAGCTATTTTTTTCAGAGCTGTTCTTACACATTCATCCACCTCTCTTTCTCTGAACTACCAGCCAAAGACAGCTCTGCCTGCAAAGCTGTAGGTTTTAGAGAGGGCTCTGATGGATCTTCTGACAACCAGCACCAGAACTTTGCACCAGAAATTTGCAGCCTTGATGGGCTGTCAAAGGAAGAATGCCAAAAGGGAGAGCTGAAAAACAGGAGGTTTTCACCCACTGATGAAGCAGAGGTGGCTACTGAATGGTAGAGTTTATGGAAACAACCCAGAAGGAATCCAAATGCTCAGAATGACTCTTGCAGAGAAAACGGGGCAAGTTCTTGTACAAAAATAGTGACCAAGTCTTCCTGGAGACAAACACCTTCTAACATCATCCTGTTTCCCCATAAAGAGGTTTTTTTATAAAGCAGGAAGGAGAATAAAAAGTAGATGCGAGTTGCCAACCAGTTTCTTTTTCCTCCTTAAATTGGCCTGCGGATTCACAGTGACCAGAGCAAAACCAGCTGCAATGGACAGCACAGAGTGAGCACCTTTGTCTGGCACCAAGGAATATCCACATTGACCTCCGGGCTACAAGACTGAGGGATCAAGGTGGGAGAGGTGTTAATACACTGGGTTTGGTGCATGAGCCTTGCCCTGTAGCAGGAAGCTGCTGGGGGAAGTTGGGAGGCAGTGGAGATGAGGGAGGTAGCTTGCCTGGTACGTCCAAGCTGAATGCTCCCTGCTTGCAGCTGCCAGCAGAGACAGTGTGGCCTCTGAGGCTGGGCAGCCCTTGCTATGCAACAGTGAATCTGACCTGGTTATACTTGTAGAGGAGGAAGAGGAGTAGGAGGAGCAGCAGGACCAATGTGCCTATGCAGGTGGAGAGAACGGGGCTGAAGAGGTTGTTTGGGGGTGCCATGACATTTCCTGGAGGAGCAAAAAAAAACAAAGATGAGTAAAACACTCCTGTTTCAATCCCATCTCTGGGAGCATTTTGCCCAGCTCTTCACTTAGGCTTTCCCTGTATGCAACACAACCTGGCACTGGCCTCAGAGACGCCCAGAAGAGCTGCTGGAAACCAAGGGAAGTTCTTGATGCCAAACTCAAGGCTGCAATGGTTTGCCCCTGTGCACCCTGATTTCCACGCAAAGAGCACCAGGTGCAGGTCAGACTGACTGGGACCAAGATCTGCGCAGCAAGAACAGATCAAAAGATGCAACCCCTGGACTGCAGTGGGCTGGGCAACAGCCGACTGCGCTGTGTCCTGGAGCGAGGTCCTGCAGTTATACGGTGTTCGTAATGTGGCTCAGCCTTTGGCACCAGGCTGTGTGCAACCAGTAATTCCCATACAGCTCCTAGGACTGGCAAATGCCAAAGCCTCCCACCTCCTGTGAGGACAGAGGGCTTGTGGAATCTAGTCCACCCCTCTTGCATGACTGTAGGGATATAAATATAGGAAGATGGGCCCCCAGAAGCCCCCAAATTCTCCCCCACTCCACCAAGCTACCAGTTTGTATCTTACTGGTGATGGTGAGCGAGTGAAACATGTCAGAAGCGTTCCCCTCTCTGTTAATGGCCACACAGCAGAAGGTGAAATTGGCACTAGGCTCCTGGAAGGGGATGGCGCTCTCCACCTCCACCTCTCGGAAGGGCAACGTGTTCACCACCTGGGGACTGGAGTCATTCAGTAGCAACCTATAGTTCTCGTTGTACCTGCAGAGGCACCAAGCAGGACAGAATGAGTGTTCTTCTGTAGCACAGCTGCTCACGGGTGCCTGTATCAGACTAGAGAGGAGACACTGGGAATTAGCATTGCAGCTCTATAAGACATGTTACTCTCTGCCCAGTTAAAGACCTCTCCCTGAGCATTGGAGCCTGTATAGACAGAGCCGTAAATGCTACAGCTGTGTTCTGGCAGCAATTCCCTCCTTGAATGGGGCTGGTACTGAGACACAATCACCCCTCTCCAGGCAGCTGCAGTTGCCTCCCATCACACTGTAGCTCAGCAAGCCTGTGCTCTGCAAAGCCTCAGACCTGTGGAGGTCCCAGAAAGGTGACTAGGACCAGCCAGGATGTAGCTCTACAATAAGCTACACTGGAGCATTTCTCCAAGGGACCCACATGTTCCTTAGAAAAGCATTGGAAGAACATGAATCACAGGTAGCTGAACTCTTCAAGCTCAGGACTTTAGGAACGGTACCTGCCCCCTTCTTCTCAGACAGTCCCCAAGAACCTGTTTTTTTTAGCAGAGCAACATCCCTGTTGCTGTTACTGAGCAGGCTCTGCTGTATTGCGTGTAGGCAAGCCCACGTGGTGCTGCTCAGCAAACGCCAGCATAGCAGGGGCAAGTGCAGATCTCGGAGGTGCTCAGTCTCCTGGGCACCTCTTACCTGTCAGAGTGAATGGGACACTGGTACCACTCAATGCGTGGGGCAGGGTAGCCAATGGCCATGCACTGAAGGATGCTGGAGTCATTGGCTGGTACCTTGATTTTGCAGACCCTTGGAGGAGCTGTTGGGGAAGGTAGACAAACTGTCAGTGCGATGACCAGAGGAAATGCACATTCCCTGTGCTCTGATTTACTTTTCAGGTGTGTAACAATATAACACCAGGAACCCCTGTGCTATGCATAGCCTTGGGCTGAGTCCCAGACTCAGTCTGGCTATGTGTCTCGTGGACACTGGGCTGGAAGCATCCTGGTACCCCACCCTACTTGCTGCCAGCTGGGCAGCAGCCCCAGGACAAGCAGGGTGAGAGAATGGGCAGTGCCGAGCACTTACATTTCACAGAGACACTGAAGGTAACTGATGCATTGGTCTCATTGTTAAGGGCATAAAATGTATAGAGACCTCCCTCTCCTTCCTGCAGGCGGTTCAGGGAAAGCGTGTTGTTATACCTGCTCACACAGAGAGAGTAAACACCATGAAGAAAGCTGTGCTGAGGAAAGCCAAACACACAGTTTTTGCTCAGTGAGATGCTGCTGCTTCCTGTGCCATGGAGTGGGTGAACACTTCCCAGCACTAATCCCAGCCCATGGGGGAAATCTGCTACCTGCTTCTTCAGGGGAAGCAGGAAGGGGCTCATCTTCCTTAGAGGAAAGACCTTTTGCTGCCAAGCACACAACACTTCCAAAAGACTACAGGTGGGTGAATGCTCAGAAAGGAGAGTTTAACATCCAGATCATTGCCTTTGAAGGGCTAGAGGATACTGGCCCTCCTGCCTTTGGCAGAATGAGTTATTCCTCCCATTTCTTAGCCCATCAAGTCATCGTCCCTAGTGCCTGCTCCCCTTGGCCCCCAGCCCATTTCTCAGGTCTCAATACAAGAAAGCGTTTGCCCTAAAGCCAGCACGCTTACTGAGTGACACAGTTCCCCTTGTGGATTATTTTGGGTTTCTAAGAAAATGAAAGGGGAATTGCTAAAGCTCCCCACTAAATGGAATGATTCGCTTTCTTTCAGTCTCCTTTTGGCCTCAGTTGGCTGTAGGCTTTGGCAAAGCAGGGCTGTGCCCTCCATTGGTTCTTATTCACATAACAATGTTTCTGGCTTCTCTTGACATGAGGCATGCAGTACTGCTCAGTAGATACACTCTCCAGACCACAGACCATGGGACAGGTCTGAGGAGCAGCAAGCAAATTCATTTTTTTTGTGCTGTTCATCCATCCCTGCTATTTCTTCCTGCAAGGAGAGCGAGAACTTGAACAGCTAGACCACAAACATGATAGTGACTTCCACAAGGTTTTCTACAGAGAAGGCTGCCAAGTTAGACAGAGGTGGTGTTCTCCTTGACCTGATCAGACCTGCTCACTGTGGTTTGATAATAATACTGGAAAGAGAAGACAGAAAGGCAGAACACTTCCCCTCTTTAAAACCAGAGAGGTTTCTGTGAGCCAGTAGAGTGGGGTCTACCTGTCTCACAAGGAAAGCACTGTTGGAAACATGCCATAGCCAGTGTAGAAGAGAGAGCACACATACCAGTTGTTTCCAGAGATCATGCGGCCCTCAAATGTGGTACTTCCAGAGTCCAAGGGGTTTGTGTGCTCCCAGCCCCAGTGGAGAAGTTTTGGGTAAGCCTCAACGTGGACCTGCAGCTTCAGACTCTCTCCCAAAGCAAGCTCCTGGCTCGTGGCTTGCACTGGGGTCAGGAACACATAACCTCTCTCTGCAGGATAGAGGAGAGCATGACCATCAGCAGGCATGTCCAGAGATCTGAAACAAGCTTATACCAGCTTGATAAATGGACCATTATTGGAAACGGCAGCCTCAGCTGGGAGACTGCAGGAGGTAGAGGCATTGCACAGATTATTTTGCCAAAGGAGTACTCTTAGGTTGCTCCTTTGCCATGGCAGCTTGGATAACACTCTGCCTGAGGAGAGATAGAAAATCTTAGTGAACTTTCATGGAGAAAGAGGCTTTACATGTTGTATCCTAATAGATGATGTGGCTAAACCAGTTTCTCCTGATCATCCATAGAAGACAGGCCCCTTAGCTAAACTCCTGGCTTCTCACTTGGAAACAACTCAGATCAAGCCCTCTTTCTGAGTCATGTTATGCAGCAGCTTTGGGTCATCAGCAAACGCCAGCTTGCGAGCTGCAAGGATGAATTTTCTGTCTCAAGATACAAACAAGTATATAATAGATCTGAATCCTCTGATGCAGATCTGTTACTGGAAGAGACAAAGATCCATACTCTGCTTATGTGGCTTGTCTTTCCTTCTAGCCAGCCTTTCCTGGTCATCAGCATAACCTTGCTCCACTTTTTTTTTTTTTGTTATTTTAAAGCTGTTTATAAACACACAGAAACTGAGAGGAGCTTTCCAATTTTTCATCCAGAATCTAAAAAATGTCCTCCTGCCCCTCAAGACATGAAGGGAACACCAGTTCCTTTCCTAGCAGCTCCACAGCTCTCATATGAGCCTTCAGGCTCAAGTGAGAATGATGTTTCCAACAACAAAACTAGGAAGAAGATGGAGGCAGAAGCAACAAATACTCAAGGCTAGTCGTGATTCAGCACGCACCTTCTTGGTCTTTTGGGGAAGTGCTCACCTACTACCTGAAGCAGTGTTGAGGCATTCTTGAATTGAATTGTTAGCTATACAAGTGTATTTCCCACTGTCTTCCATGGTCACCTCTGGAACAGACAGGATGGCGTCGATGAGGTAGTTATCATTTTCAAAGCTACGGTTTCGAGTTGTCCTGACCTGTCAGGCAGGGAGGGAACATCAGGCACTTTCTCAGAAAGGTAGAAGATGGAACTGAATGATATTTACAACAAATATACCCATCCTCTCCTGTTCTGGGCTACTGAGCTTTGTTATACAGCCCCTGTCACTAAAAGCTCTCTGTGTGGAGACCAAGAGGCACATTAAGCCCGAGTACTCAGGGCAGATGTTCCACAGCAGTTAGGATGACAGCTGTTGTCAGCCTTCTGACTGCAAGTTGTCCTTATGTTGTGTGATCCAAACATATCTAGTATGTTATTTCAACTTCTTAATAAAGATATCAGATATAATAAGGACCTCTAGCAAACCTTATCTAACCACCTAGCAGTTAAAAGTCAGCACAACAGATAGTTTGAAATACATTCCTTTCCTTCACCCATATCTTTTTTCTGGGGAACTGTGTGTCCTGAACATGTTTGCTGCTTTATAAGCCGTGGCAGGGCTGGGTGGAAAAACACTGCCTTAGTAGGTACTGTGGCTCCTGCTCAAGGAACTCAGCTGAAGCAACAGACTTTCCTTCTGTCTTGCAGCAAGATCCTGACAATGGCCAGGTGTTTCTTAACCCTCTGTCAGCCCAAGGAAAGGATGGCCATATAGAGAGTTTTACAGCTTATTTGAATATCTGCTTTGGTTGAGCAGTTCAAGGCTTTGGTACAGGTGACTTGGGTCTGGCCAGTTCTTACCACCCTTTATCTCCCAGTTTCCAGGAAATCCCAACACCCCCTTGAAGCTGCACAGCTTACCCTCTTTGCTGCTGTCACCCATCTGATGTCATACTTGTGGGAAGGAGCAATTACTCTACAAGTGACTTTGAAAGGTTCACCCACGATTCTCACATGGTCTACAGGGTCCATCGTCACTGATACAGGCTTCTCCAGAGCTACACAAAGGCAAGCAGGGAAAGATTCAGTGTCAGCTGACCCAGTGACCTCACGTACTTCGGAGACTCCCCAGGGCCTGGCTACCTTCTCCTTTCCATCCTCTTCAGCCTCTTTACCCCAAGCCTTCTCCTTCCCTAGGGATCATCACTTTTTTGTGCACGTGCCTACAGGAAGCAGCACAGGTTGGGGAGAGGTACAGCAGCAGCAGTCAGCACTGGGTTGAAAGGAAAGAGAAACCTTCTGACTGAGCATCAGGGCCTGAGGACTTGCAGGACGTCTAGAAAATAGGTGAACTTTTTTTCTCTGTTCTGTGATAGCACCTGCAAAGATTTGAACAGTGCTGAACCCATGGAGATCCACCTGAAGGAGACAATTTGCCAGAAGCTGATAGAATTTTGCTTCCATTAAATACCCTTTAAAGATTGCAGGTTCAGAAGACCTTTCCTACCACCACTGAGGAGCTTTTGCTTAACTATCTACTGTGGCCAGCTTAGCTATTGGTGTCTCCCTGAGGATAACAGCAACGTCAATTCTTTACCTTCAACAAGCAGTCTTATTCTTGATGACTTCTCTATTTTTCCATTTATCACTGCTTGGCATCTGTAATAGCCCTTCTGCTTGCTTTGCACATTGTATACTGTTATTCCTTTCTCAGTACTGAAAGAATAGTTGGTCCTGGGCGAGAGACGAGAGCCGTCATCCATTATCAGAGTCACGCTGGATCCGTACTCGGGGGCCGTGACGAGACAGGGGAGCTCAGCATCACCACCTGTGGTCACGGAGATCCAGAAACTCGGGACGTACCACACATTATTGGGATCTGCGGAAGAAACAAGGCAGGCCAGAGAATGGGATCAGAAAATGCATTGAAGCTGAAAAGCACATTCCAGCAAAGGCAAGTCTCCAGCATTGCTGCCCAGTGGGAGGCTGATGCTGGGGCAGCCCTACTCAACGTCTGCCTGACTCAGCCTCCAAAAACTCGCATGACAAGCCCAATTCCAGCTAAGGAGTTTGAGGAGAGCACAGCTCAGAGCACATACTAAGAAGTATGCTTACCTCTAATTAAACTTTTCACCAGGGTGTTAGTTAGTTTAGACCTCCAGTTTCCCTGTCCAGAACAATATTTCTGGTAAAAGGGAAGGGGTGAACTCAAGGGGTGGAGCTACCACAGCATAACTTCTTCTGGGGTAAAAGAATATTTGGGGTTCAGATCATGTTGCGAGGATATGATTCATGTGACTCTGTCCCTTATCTGGGGTACAAGCAATACCAGTATCTGGAAATCTGCGATTCCAGATCTCACCACTCATTACAACACCAAACACACTTTCATCCATTTTTCAGAAAGGGAAGCTAGGTAAACGGAGGGAGAGGTCCATTCCCATACATGCATGAGATGTAGATGCCCTGTACTCTACCCTAGAGCTTCAGCCACAGGCCCCATTTTATGTGGGCTTACATGATTGTGGGTGGGCCACTGCCCCACTAGGAACCTGCACTGCTCCCCTAAACACACACACTCCCCACAGCCATAGAGAGGACCTGTGTAATGGCCATGATCCCTGGAAGGAGGTTGTTCTGCCAGGATATGTGAGAAGCATGGATACCTCGCACGAACAGATGCACGGTTGCAATGCTTTTGTCACTGCTGTTGACATAAGCACACATATAGGTGCCTGTATTCCTGAAAGTGGCCTTGAGAATACTGAGTGTGCTGCTGGTGTGGTTGCTGGTGTGGTTGAATGTATCCTTTCGGCCTTTCCACTCAACTTCAGACTCTCCTGAGCAGTACAAGATGACTGGATCACCGGTGTTGACAACCAGAGCAGGGAGGTCAGGGCTGATCACTGGGGATGCTGAGCCTACAAAGGAAAGAAAGAGTGAGGATACAAAAATGATCCTTAAAGACGCTCTGTTGGAGCTCACACTGCTCAGAATGGAGCAGCTCAGCATCAGGAAGAGGCTGGGCTTGGGATGCAGACTACCTTTTTGGCTTGGATCACTCCAGCCATTCTCCATCCTACCAGACTGATACGGCCTGATACTCCAAGGAATGAATTTCAGGGAACAGAGAAAACCCCACATGTGAACATTTAGAGCACTGGGACAGGAAAAACAATCATCTGAAGCTGATTAGGCCAGATGCTAGCTTGGAAATTATTCCTGTTGAGTTTTGCCTCTTCTTGCAACAGTTTTCCTTTAGAGGCAGAACTGGATCTACTCCATGAACTTCATTAGCCAACAACACCATTTGGTGAAGTTGAAGCCAAATCCAGTGGACAGGACTCTTTCTTGCATTAGCGCTGTGATGAGCTAGAACAGACCTGGAAAGCTTTTGCGGAGCACATCTTTTGGGAAGACTGGCTTTTTGCTTGCTGGGCAGTAGATTTTGAAGGACACCTACTTCAGCCTTATCATAGAGTCACACAGTTCATTTTCCTCATAGATACCACCAAATCATTATGAAGCAAGTCAGCATTATTATCCATATTTGGGAGTGAGAAACTGAGTCACAAAAAAGCTAAACAGCTCGTGAAAGCTCATAGTAGTACGTACAGCACACCCGGCCACACTGACACTGGCATTGCAACCCAAATGGATTTCCGATGCCATCGCTGCTTTGAAGATGGCTTCTCTGCTGGCTGAATAAAGGGGAACCAGGGTCCCACTCCAGCTCTTAGTGTCAGAGGGAAACATTTTTTCCCTGTTTTGCCGTGTCAGCGAGTTCTTTGAGTCACCACCTATATTTAGGGTGGGGGGAAGTGAGAAATGAATCAGTGCCGTGGGGCTAGGGAAGAAGCAGTACCACCACCCCCACGCCAGGCCTTTGAGGAGGACAGGAAACACATTGCAAAGGGCTATCTGTGCTCGGGGGGCTCTGCACTCCCCACCAGCCCCTATCCACTGCTATTCTCCCACTTCTGCTTTCCTCCCCAGTTGCTAACCCATCCTCACATCTTAAAGGGACACACAGATGGGTTCAAATAATACTAAGTAGAAAGGTAGCTGCCCAATTTATCAATTCTTTGCTCTTTGGAGGCAAGGTCACTGCAGACAGTCCTCCTCTGAGGTGGTGGCTGCAGAATGAGGGCTAAGTTTGGTCTTGTGATGCCTCGAACTCTGCAGCAGACTGCTCTGGACTCCCAGGAGCTCTTTAGTTGCAAGATTTGTTGTCCAAATGAACATAAACCCCCCAATTATCAGGAAATGGGAGAGGGCAAGACACCTTATAATGACACATTATTATTATTACCAGCTGCACTTGCATATCCTTCAGGGCAAGGGGTAGTAGTGGACAGATGTTACGGCCCTTCACTGTCCAAACCTGTTGCAGAGAAGAGAAGGCTGCTCATGGGCACAGGTACTAAAGACAGTTTAAAGCACATCTCTTCCCAGGTGCTGCCTTGGACATTGTTTCTGTAACAGCCAACAGAAGAGGATGGGTGCATGCTTCATCCACCCCTGCTCGCAGTTCTCACTTGGTGAGAAAGACCATCTGAGGTACAAACATGTGTCCTGTGCTACCAGCTGCGCTCAGAGCTTACACCAGAGCCTGTCCATCAGAGCTCAAATAGCATCATTTAAGCAGTCTTGGGCTGATGCCTCTCTCCATGCAACCCTGGAGAGTGTTGCTGGTGTGTAACAACACTGCAGTTGCCCAGGGGAAACCCAAACAAGGCCTGGATCAAACTCACTGGCCCTGTAGGAAGAAGCAGAGGACAGGGAGTTTCGGAACATGGAATATTTGACATTTTATCTCCCTCTTTTTTTTGGTTTTGTTTTTTGTGGTTTTTTTTTTTTGGTGATGCCTTTATCTTTCTGTGGAAACAGGAAAAGCCTCATTTATTCCTAGAGCAGAGAGAAACGTATCCCAGAATCCTTTACAAAGCCACATTTTCCACATATCTGAGGCACAACATTCCTCCCTTTTTGCTAAGCTGTGCTATCTAGTGGGGCTTGACACATTTCTGTTGCTTTAACTCTGTCAATGGATGTTTTCCCTCATCTACTCTCTACTTTAGCTATCCCTCCATATCCAAGGCTTCAGCACCATTTAATGGTGGAGTCAAGCTCTTCAACTCAGAGCTGCATTCAGCCTGGCTCAGGATGCTGTCCAGGGTGGGAGGACAAGAAAAATAAGAGTCATGTCACTCTGTGTCCTTGTTGTCAACCTCCAGTTACTACTCAGATGTTATGGCCAGAGAAGTCTCAAGATAGGTGCTCTCCATAACAGCAAAGAAGCCAGTAGCCTTCAGGCTGTCACTGGAGACTCCTGTCAATGGCACAAGCACCACTCAACTGGAGTTAGGATAGACAGGGCAGAGACACTAAAAGCAGGACAATGCTGGGTGAAGGCTACCCAAGTGTCCACTCCTTTGTGTGTGCTGGGGAATGAGTCAGACCAGCAGGTCCTTTTCCAGAATGGGGAAGCAGGACTGCTGGGGAGGCTTTATCCCTGCTGACCAGTGTGCAATCTTGCACGAAGCCCAGGGACGTCTCTCTGCTGCTCCCCAGCAGCTTCCGCAGCATTGCCAGTAACTGCTGGCCAAAGGTTTTACCACACTTGGGTTGCATAACCATGACCTCTAGCCACAGCTGCAGGCTCTGTCCCTGCTTCTCCCATGCCAGCCAAAACATGACTTTCTTCTGCTGAGGGTTTGGAAATGGTGAGGAAGGAGAAATGAAGGCTGGTAAGACAGAGAGGCTCAAGAACCTTACCACAGAAGCCACTCATCAGGATCTTGACTAGGTCCTGAGAGATAACTAGGCTAAGGTCTGGCCTCAGGAGGGACCCATACCAGGCCTGAGCTCCCCTTGCTCCCACCTCAACGATGAGAGAGAAAAGCTTGATTTCTGAGAAGACTTTCCCTGGAGTCACCAACAGTATCTGCGGGGCAGGAGATGGGGAAAAGGGTGCTTTATCATGTCTCTGCCCAGGGATTATACCTCAGAGGTTTAGATTCATCTACAACAAGAAAACAAAAGAACCCCCAGGAAGATTTCTCAAGATAGCCAAGAACATGGATGTGAGCTGATCAGGTTTCCAATCCTTCCTCTGATCGATCTGAAGCTGGGATTTGAGCCTTTGACACTCTTCCAGCAAGAGCCCAGATCACAATGGCCATACCACATCAGCCCTGGCTTCTCTCAGAAGATGCACTTGCAATCCAAGAGCTAGGAGAAGGAAGTCAGGCTCTGGCTCCAGCTTGAGGCTATTGCTTTGGATAATCTTGGCATGCTGCAGCTTTGTGTAGATGGCCACCAATGCTGGTACTCAGACAAGTGTGTGTCTAGCACCCTGACACGGCAGACAGTGCCTGATGAGGATGTCACAGCTAGTGACCTGCACTGCACAGTGCCTTAAGGACCCTTCAGAGAGATCCTGACAGATATGATTATGATCTCTTACAAATCTACATCAGACCTAGTCCCTATTACCTTAAAGAGCTTACCATAAGAACTCAAAAACCCTGCAGCCTTCACAACCCAGTTCCCAGCACAGCAGACCTGGAAAAAGCCTGCTCAGCATGTCAAAGACATGAGTTGAAGTGAAATGCCATGCAGTGCAACAGCGAGCAGGATGCTAATTTCCTGGGCTGAAGATACAAACAGGAGTGGCTCAAGAGAGATACACTGCCTCCTTATTACATGCTGAATGCTTTCCCCCCTAGATCACACCCTTCCAGGGGGGACTTCCCACCATAGTCTCATTATGTGAGGAGCCAGTTCGAAAGGATAATGAAAGGAAGTGTCTGACAAGATCCGAGAGGCTACCAGCACTTAAGATGCAAGATTAGTAATACTGGTTTCTGTCTGTTTGATTGCAAACCTCAAAACAGGCTTAGTGACTCTTTCTTGAGGTTAATGGGTTATCACCTCTTGGCCATCTCCACAGCCTCAAAAACCAGGCGTATTTATCTTTCCCTCCTTGGCTGCCTGAGTTCTGTTTCCATCACAAGGTCTGACACCTGGCTTTACAGCCCTGTTGTGTATGCCAGCACTATCAGAAAACAGCAATCTTCAGACATCTTCAGCCAGGCACAAGGTGCATTGGAAGGTGCCAATGCAGCCAACGTCTTTGACTCTTTCACCTAAAGACTAAGCTCTTGCCTGGTTTGGGCAAAGGGTTATTTCAGAGACAGCTTCCTGAGGGACATATTTTCTGCAGAACCTCTCCTTCCTCCTAATCCCCACCCAGACCCAAACAGCAGGAAGTTTCCCTTTCCTATCTCCCCACTGCTGAGGCTCTTCCTATGCTGCGTGCACCTTTCATACCCCTTGGTCCTCTCCTGGCAGTGCTGCAGGCAGACAAGAGCAAGCCCTCAGCACGGCTGGCTCCAGAGCCAACACAGACTAGCAACACACCCTCTTTCCACCACTTTTCTCCCTCTGTGACAGCCAGTTCAGGATGGTCTTCAGGAAGCTGCTAGTCCCCACTGCTGAGGCTCTTCCTATGCTGCGTGCACCTTTCATACCCCTTGGTCCTCTCCTGGCAGTGCTGCAGGCAGACAAGAGCAAGCCCTCAGCACGGCTGGCTCCAGAGCCAACACAGACTAGCAACACACCCTCTTTCCACCACTTTTCTCCCTCTGTGACAGCCAGTTCAGGATGGTCTTCAGGAAGCTGCTAGAGCCAAGTCTGCGCTAAAAGCCGAGCTGGTG